TCTTCTTCTTCTTCTTCTTCTTCTTCTTCTTCTTCTTCTTCTTCTTCTTCTTCTTCTTCTTCTTCTTCTTCTTCTTCTTCTTCACCCAAATGTAACGTCTTCTTCCCTCTATTTAACTGAACGGCGCCTTTCAGCCAAGAATAACGCCAAAGACTTATTTCACACGTGTCTCATCTAAAGCATGGTCTTCAGCAAGTCCTGTTGATCTGGCATAATATTCCGGCTGCCTTTCAGGGCCTTGGAAAAGTGGCCATGGCAAGGAACGCGTCGGGACACCGATTGAATAGAAACTCCGACCGTGCCTTATGAGCGTTCCTCGGCGATTTACAAAGTCGAGACAGAACGTGAGTACGTGTGAGCCATACGCATTTTGGATGTCTCTTCCTTTGTAGCATTCCAGAGTAATCTCGACTTCTCTTTTCAGCGCCGAACCATTCTGTATACAAGGAAAGCGCCATCATAGCTCCATTGAGGTACATGGAACGCTGATGCCATTCTTTATCGTCCCTTTTCCTTTTCCTTTAATCTAAACTTGTTGAGCAGTGAGGATGACTCAAAGTCATCAATAAAGAGTAAGGAAAATATTGATGAACAGTCTGGCAGTCAAAATGCTTGAGTTATGATAAAGCCTTTACTATCCTTACAGGAATGCGTTGTTAATGTTTGCTAGTTAGTGTGTGGCATTTTGTGATTCGTTGTCTGACTACGGTTTAAAGATATAGCACACACGCTTCAAATAAATGCTATACAAAATGTCAACTAACCGCAAACTGACATTTAAGAGATTGTCAAAGAATGGAAGTGAAATATTTCTATATATATTCAAGATCTATTGTCAGAGGATTTATCACTGTCCTTGAAGTTGCAGGTAACATACCGCACAAATACACCTAACAAATCAATAAGAAATGAACAAAAGAATAAACAACAACAAAAACAAACAACAAAATTGAAGCGAGCATCAGTTTTTTTTTGGGAATAATCCAACAACGTAACTCGAATAGCGGTAAACTTTGGTCAATGCTGGTTTCCAGTTACATCCTAGTTAAGTATTGGCTTAATGTCAGCAATAATCACTTGAATTTCGGGTGATATTGTGGCAAATTTAAACCTTAGAGGCTGTGTGTTCTGGCCTTCGACAACGTTTTAAGACGCGCTGTTCTGGGTCAGAAGAAACTTAATTCGTTATTACAACATTTTGTTTTTCAATTTTGTTTTCTTTATCTGAATTTAAAACGGCAAGCGTACCAGTAAATATGCGAATTTGTGTTTCTGCTTTGTACATGACAATTTCAAACATGCCTTTTCAACATTGAGTTTCGTCTGTTGCTGATCGAATATGTTAGTACGTTTCCGCTATGTTAATCAAGAATTAATATGGGCATATTATGGATTAAAATTTCACCCGTACAATGGGAGACAAATCCTATAATGACTGATTTATTTCGCCATGAAAACGTTCCATTGGACGGCTCTAAATACATATTACCACGGTATAAATGTTATTGTGTAAGATCTCAGCAGAAACAGAAAATGTAAAGTAACAAATCAACATTTTCTTGTAACTTATACGAGGATTTGTGAAAGATTTGTGACTTGAAAGACTGAAGCAAGTAGTTCCATATATAGCATTCATAGTTGATGTCATTGCACGAACTTTCTAGAAATAAGGGCAATATTGTGACTGGCTTTAACTGCTTTTCTCTGAGCCCACATAAACCCATATTTTATACTCACACTAATATGATGACGTTGTCTGTGGTATACAATTGCTAAGATTATCATATTATATAACATTTCGGCTGCTCAAAGAAAAAGTGCTAGATTTTTCTACTTATCTCAAAAGTAGAATGTTGAAAACGGATTCAAATATTGACAGAGAAAGGTAAATTTTGTCAGTGACGTGACCACTCTCCCC